GGGGGGGGTGGACCCAGCTCATCTGGGAGGCCGGGGGGGAAGGTGGATCCAGCTTTCCTGCCCACAGCAGGCTGCTTGCTGCCATTCAGCGGTGATTTCACTTGTAAACACCAGGCTCTGCCACCCTCGCCCAGGGGAAGCCGGGCTTTCCAGGGATGGCCTACGCTACCCAAAGGGGCTGGAAATGCTGCCCTGTCTGCCTTGCTGCAGCACCAACTATACCAAGCAAGGGCACGGGGCATTACACATACGGGCGAGATAAAGAACTGCTATTCCTTGGTGCCTCTGAGCTATCAAATGGCAGGGTGAAACATCCCACTGGAACACCATCACTTCTTATCATTAGTGTTACTACGGTATTCATGTATTGTTGGTTCTGAGCATTTCTTTTGAGGTACAGGATGGGGCCCAGTGGGCCAGGCAGACATAAGACTTGACTCCTTGCCCCCAAAGAGACAGGAAATGAGACAAACCAGTGGGCAGGAGAGCAGAGAAGAGGGGTAACCAAAAATAATAGGGGGTTTTGGACTGAGGATCTCTCCTTTGGAGGGGTGTCCCAGGAACGTGGGCCTGCCCCAGTGGAAGCTGACTTTTGTTTCCTCACTGCTACTTTTAGGCTAGAAGGCTCATTGTATGGACAGGCCTCAGGTCTGGCCTCTGACCAGAGGCTGCCAGCGTTGTCTGCATTAACGAGCAAGGTGTAGAGGGTTGCTGGGTTTACCAAAATTCATGTCACGTGACATAGCAGGCAGGACTCACAGAAAGGGCATAAAGGTGACGTATTTGTTCCCTGAATCAGATTCGATGCCACCCATTGAATCACTCCTGTTAATGATAATCTGCTTGGCTTAGCTCAATAAGCATAGTGGTGCAGCTTCTTGGCAGCCTTTAAAGTAGCTAGTCACCCACTTGTGCGGCAGGCTGGCAGATTCACAGGCCTGAACAGCGGGGGGCTAGTGCTCAGTCTAGAGTGACACCTAGCAACTGTTTTCAGAAGGGGTTGTATTATACACGGGGAGGGAATTGTGCCCAGTTGGGGAGAGCAGAAGGGATTGGGAGCCAGGACTTCTGGGTTCTATTCCTGGCTCTGTTACCACTATGCTGTGCAGACTTGGGCAAGTCACTTCACCTCTCCATGCATGGGGCTATTTAAGCAAAGCTGGATTACTTGGAAAGCCTATAGACTACACAAGTGTTCCCTTAAGAACCAAGGAGTGTTTTAATCTGCAGGGTGGGAACCCCATAGCCCTGCCAAAACCACCTCAGTAACATCCAACCAAAACCCCTCACAACCATGAATGCATTTAGCCTCAGAGTGCAGGAGAGAAATCCACTCGTCCTTATTTCAGAGATGCAGAGACATTTAGTGACTTGCCTGATGTCTCACTTGGGACAGAACCAGGACCTGAATCCAGATCCCCTTTGCTTCAGATCACTGCCTTAGCCTCCAAACCATCCTTCTGCTTTAGCTGCTCCCTAATTGTTTACACAGCCGAGTGGTGAGCAGGCATCTCTTCTTGCAAAGTCCTTTGCTTATGCTCCAAGTCACGTATTTATTGGATTCCACTATCTGCCAAAGATAGCAGCAGCTCATTCCTTCAACCCTTTTAAGATTCGTGGTGTAATTGGCTTCTCTATCAGCAGGCTCATTGTAAATGAACTGTGACTGCTCAGTGAGTATTGCTACCTGGAAGGATGAAGCATGGAAAAAAGCCTACTGAACAACCCCAGCTATGATTGACAGCTGTCATTCAGACCACACATTCTCCTAGAATGGGAGCCGCTTTCTTAGGAAGCACATTTAATTTCATAATTGACTGATAACAGTCACCATCTTCTCTCGGGGAGCAGCATCTAGCAGTGGCCTTTTATTCTCTGATTGTGAGCACACCTGCACCTCAGCCAGTCCTTACAGACAGTCCCCAATATAAGGAAAAAGCAGCATGCTTCTGCCACTAGCTGTGGGCTTTCTTTGTGAAAACAAGGCTTTGCTCTGCAGCTCTCCCTTCTTAGATGCTGAATATTTTAGGATTTTCTATAGCATCCAAGGAGTCCAGTGGCACCTTAAAGACTAACAAATCAGATTAGTTGGTGTGGAAATTACAAAACCAGAGTGTATATATAACAGCAAAAGCAATTACCTGTTAATTGTAGGACCAGTGTTAATTATGTTAATTGTGTTAGGGTGGATGCATCCCATTCATAGCTTGTGATGGCTACATGTGAATAGGAAAATGGTGACTTGTGAATAGGAAAGGCAGGAGAAATTGCCTTTGTAGTGCATTAACCAGTTAATATTTTATTGAAGGCTAAGCTGATAGTGTCCATTTTGTAAATGAATTGCAGTTCAGCAGTCTCCCTCTGTAATTGGGTGATAAAATTTCCTTTGTAGAAGGATGGCTACTTTTAAATCCCTTACTGAATGTCCAAGGAGGTTAAAATGTTCCCCTACAGGTTTGTGTGTTACCATTTCTGATGTCTGATTTGTGTCCATTAACATGAATTAAGTTGTTATATTTTAAGGTGCACTGGATTCATTTTTGCTGAAACAGACTAACTCAGCCACCCTTTAGAAATCTGTAATAATGTCTATTACCCTAGTATCTGAGCTACATTAAATTTGTAGGTGAGGGCCTGTGCCTCTTGTTCCCCTGGGAGAGAAGGCTCTGCTTGGGAACATGAGGGGCTTGTTTGTTCGAGGTTCAGAAAAGGGCAAGAAAAGTGATGAGGGGTTTGGAACGGGTCCCATGTGAAGAGAGATTAAAAGACTTGGACTTTTCATCTTACAAAAGAGGAGACGAAGGGGGGATATAATAGAGATCTGTAAAATCATGACTGGTGTGGAAAAAGTGAATAAGGAAAAGTTATTTACTTATTCCCACAATATAAGAACTAGGGGTCACCAACTGAAATGAATAGGCAGCAGGTTTAAAACAAACAAAAGGAAGTTTTTCTTCACTCAGTGCTCAGTCAACCTGTGGAACTCCTTGCCAGAGGATGTGGTGAAGGCTAGAACTTTAACAGGGTTAAAAAAAGAGCCAGATAGATTCATGGAGGTTAGGTCCATCAATGGCTATTAGCCAGTTTAGGTAGAAATGGTGTCTGTAGCCTCTGTTTGTCTGGAAATGGATGACAGGGGAGGGATCGTGTGAGGATTACCTGTTGTGTTCCCTCCCTCTGGGGCATCTGATATTGACCACTGCTAGCAGACAGGATAAGAGGCTAGATGGACCACTGGTCTGACCCGGTATGGCCGCTCTTATGTTCTTGAGGGCTGTGTCTAGACTGGCAAGTTTTTCTGCAAAATCATCTGATTTTGCGGAAAAACTTGCCAGCTGTCTATACTGGCCGCTTGAATTTCGCAAGAACACTGATGATCTCATGTAAGATCGTCAGTGTTCTTGCGGAAATACTATGCTGCTCCCGTTCCGGCAAAAGGCTTTTTCCAAAAGACTTTTGCGCAAAAGGGCCAGTGAAGACAGCATGGTACTGTTTTCCACAAAAAAGCCCCGATGGCGAAAATGGCGATCGGGGCTTTTTTGCGGAAAACCGCGTCTAGATTGGCCACGGAAGCTTTTCCGCAAAAAGTGCTTTTGCGGAAAAGCATCCTGCCAATCTAGATGTGCTTTTCCAAAAATGCTTTTAACTAAAAACTTTTCCGTTAAAAGCATTTCCGGAAAATCATGCCAGTGTAGACGTAGCCATGTTGTTTTGCCAGGCCCCAGGCCTCCCCATATCAATTGGCTGTGCTGGGAAAGGTGACATCACCCCATTATGCTGGGGCTAAGGAAGCTGCGGGGGGAGGTAAGAAGAGGAGTTCTCCACGGCGGGGGGGCGCAGGGGGGAAGGCTGTGGTGGAGAGGGAGCTGCGGGCTGGCTCTATGCGGCCGGGCCGCGGTCCAGGTGCAAACAGCTGGAGCCAGCTGTGCACAGCGGCTTGCGCTGATTGGCTGCGGCGCCGTGACATCACGAGGGCTGTCTCGGAGGCTTTAGCTCCCTCGCCGCAGGAGTTTCCAGCGGCTCCAGTCGCCGCAGAGAAGCTCTCGGCAGCGGGTGTCTGCCGGACAGGCTGCGATTCCTGGGCTGCCCGGGGCTGATGGCAGGTAAGCGGGCGGGCTGCAGCAGGGAGGCGCGGCTGGAGATCGGGCCGGCAGGCCTGGGGTCCCCAATTTTGCGCGCGGGGGGTCCCCCATTCTCCGCGCTGAGGACGGGGCGTCCCTGCGGGGATCCCACGAACGTGGCCGTGGGGGGCGCTGGGACCCCGGCGGGGGTGGGGGGAGCTGGGAGGGATTCCGGGGAACGGGCTGGGGAAGGGTGCCCGGATTTCTCCCTTTCCCCGGGAGGGCGGCTCCGTGCCTCCCAGCTCACCCTGCCCTTCTCCCCGCCGCAGCCCGCCGCGCCCTGTAGCGCCGGCCAGCATGGGGAACCAGCTGGCGGAGATCGCGGCCGCGCCGCCCTTCCTGCCGCCCTTCCAGGCGCTGCACGTGGTGGTGATCGGGCTGGACGCGGCCGGCAAGACCTCGCTGCTCTACCGGCTCAAGTTCCAGGAGTTCCTGCAGAGCGCGCCCACCAAGGGCTTCAACATGGAGCGGATCCGGGTGCCGCTGGGGGGCTCCCGCGCCATCGCCTTCCAGGTGTGGGACGTGGGCGGGCAGGAGAAGCTGCGCCCGCTCTGGAAGTCCTACACCCGCCGCACGGACGGGCTGGTCTTCGTGGTGGACGCGGCGGAGGGCGAGCGCATGGAGGAGGCGCGGGTGGAGCTGCACCGCATCAGCCGGACTTCGGAGAACCAGGGCGTGCCCGTGCTTGTCCTGGCCAACAAGCAGGACCTGCCGGGGGCGCTGTCGGCCCCCGAGGTGGAGAAGCTGCTGGCCCTGCAGGAGCTGAGCGCCTCCACCCTCAGCTACACCCAGGCCTGCAGCGCGGTGGACGGGCTGGGCCTGCAGCAGGGGCTGGAGAAACTCTACGAAATGATCCTCAAGAGGAAGAAGATGCTGCGGCACAGCAAGAAGAAGCGATGAGCAGCCCCGGGGAGGCCGACCGGCCAGCCCCCTGGGCCTGCCCCAGCCCCTCCGGGCTGCCAGCGCATTGCTTGTTGGGTGTGGGGTGAGCAGCTCCAGTGCCAAGCCTGGCTGGCCCCAAACCTCCCATATGGACCAGGGCTTTGTTACGGGACAGCGCCCTCTGGGGGATCCCTCTGCCTGCCCGGGGACCTCTGACTCCGGGACTTGGCCTGGCTCCAATAGGAGTGCGCTGGAGGCACTGATGTGGACCTGTGCCCGCGGGCTGGCAGGGCACAAGGCTGACCCCAGCCAGACCGAGAGCCATGGCCCATAGTGAGCCAAAAGCGAACTGAAAAGAGCAGTCGGGTAGGATCAGGAGACTGTAACCTGGTGGCAACGTGCATTAGGTCCAACACTGCAAGTAGTTTTGTTTTTTTTTCTAGGTGCATGGGTGCTAATTTCCACCAGTACTAAAAGGAAGGGTGGGGGAGGGGAGTATTTGTATTATTGGGATTTTTATATAAACCATGTGAATTTTTTTTTTTTTTTGGTAGGAATGAAACCTCTAAGTTATTAAACAGACACATTGGTTAGCTGGGAGTGGCTTTACTTTGTCTCTGCACTCTCCTGCTCTTGGCGTTCATGCTTTGTCTAGGTTCCAGCTCTCACTTGGCTGGGTCAGAACAAAAGATGCCTGGGGATAAAAGACAGGGCTTTATTTAATCCAAACCCTCTGCTAGCCATGGCTGTCTTCTTTAAGGAGAGAGGAATTGTAAACAAGTGACAGAACTGTAATCTACCCTTGCCTCCGTGCTGAGGGAGAGAGTTCGAGGGGTGGTGGAAAGAAACCAACCAAATCTCTGGCTATTGCACCCGTGAATCGTAGCAAAACCCAACCTGATTTATTTTGGGATAGGGGAGGGAAGGTCAGCTCCCATATGTGCTGGCATTTGCTGGTTTATGCAGTATCTGGAGTTCTAACAAGTAAGGACGCAGATTCTGCAAAGGAGGGATTTGACTGTCAGGTTGTAGGTTTACATGTGTCTCCAGATGAGACCAGGATGAGCTCCTGTGTGTGTGGCGGAAGAAGCAAATTATTTCATTTGGCTAATGTGGTGGTCTACTTTCCTCCGAAGCTGTGGTGTCCAACACACTAGCCACATGTGGCTATTTGGTTGGTTGAGTGCGGCTAGTCTAGCTGTAGCCACTATGCTTCAGAACAGGTTGGACACCACCGCACTGAAGCATCAGGTTTTGGTTGGGGACAGAAGGCTGGAGCAGATCAAGTGTGGCAATTCTGATTACGTTATCCATGGCAGGTCTCAAACTTTTTGCTCTGCTCGCAGTCAAGACCGAAGTCACTTTGAAGCGACTTGTATGAGGCTGGTGGAAACCAGCTAGAAGCTTTGAAGTAGCTGTGAAAAGCCCCTGGCTTCTTCCTTTCTTCCCTCACACCCAGCTGGCTGGGATCAGACATGCTACCCTCTCCCTGAGTCCTGGAAGCGGCTGGGTTGTTCACAGGCTATAAACACTACTGATGCTCCAGGTTGGGGGTGGGGGAGTCCTCTCTGATTGGACCAACTTCTGGTGAAAGACACACTGTTGGGAGCTCAAGAACCATGTAGCTCTAAACTTCGCCCCTCTTGCCCACAGAAGTTGGTCCAGTACAAGACGTTTCCCTCCCCAACCTTGTTTCTAATCTGGGCCAACAGGGCTACAGCATTGTAGCTGAACACCGGCTACAAACCTGTAGCGGAACACCCAGCGATTCCAAATGCACAAAGACCACAGCAAAGGTGGGTGCTGTACTAGGAAGTATGTGGAGGGCTTGGGCAGCAATTGGAAGGATTTGCTGCTGTGTGAGCCCCAAACATGGCCAAGAGTAAAAACAAAGTGACTTGGCTGCCATGTGAGCTTGAAGAAATAGTAACCACGGCAGGGTTTATGTGGGTCGTCTGTGTGTAGCAGGAACCCTTTTCAATATACAAGATAACGCCTTTGTATTAATGTTTGTTCCCTCCGGTGGGGTCAGCCCCTTAATGTGCCTGCAGCTGCCATGTCCACCGGTCCTGTAGCGGGAGAACAGTTCATGCCGGGAACTGCATGGGAAGAGATCTTGTTCCCCTTTCCTGAACACAGAAGAAGCAGCCATATGGCTGTGGAGGAACATTGGAATCTGATGAGCCAAGAAGTGGTTTTAAGCACAAAGAACTGGGCCGTTCACAGCTGCTCACCCAGTGGGGAAGGAAGGGGTGTGGTGTGGTGGGGTGAGGTCGTGGGGGAGACGGAGAGTTCCTCTCCTTAACTCTCTCAGCTGTCTGCTGATGGTCGCTTGGGTCACACCAGTCCTGTATAAGTTGCTCCCCTTTCTGCAGGCAGGCGTCTGCTCCGAGAGGGCCTGTAATGTAGCCCTGCAGTTCCCCACAGCCTGCTGACGCTTGAACTCCACATGGGGATCGGAATAGGAAACTTTTGGTGGGGTTAGAGGAGGAGCTGCTGGGGAAGGGAGTCGGAGCACTTGGTAACGGGGTGGACAAGCCCTTAGATCAGTGGTTTTCAATCTATGGGTCATGTCAGGCGCTGGGCCTCGGTGCAGCGGGGGATCAAGTGACCAGTGGGGGTCCTAAGGCAGTGAGCTGCCTGTCTTGGCACCGCAGACTGCGCTGTGCCCCAGAAGTGGCCGGCAGCAGGCCCAGCTCCTTGATGGGGAAGGGGAAGAGTGCACAGGGCTCCATGCACTAGACCCACACTCTCATTGACTTGGAACCTGCTTCTGGGGTGCAGCCTGGTCTGCAGTGCCAGGAAGCTGCCTTAGCCTCCCCCACCCCCCGCTGCCTGTGAGCCGCTCCAGGTAAGTTCCTCCTGCCCCAGCCCTGAAGCCAGAGCCCCTTTCTACACCCCAAAGCTCCCATCCTCAGCTACACCCCGAGCCCACACTCTAGTCAGAGTTTGAAAACCGCTGGTTGAGGTGTCTCCACTCCCCTTGGTTCCTGCTTTGGCCAAGGGCCTCTGGGTAGGTTTAGGCTGCAGCCAGGAGAAACCTGAGCAGACAGACTTGTGCTCCTGGGCCCCAGGTTAGCAGGCTAGAATAGCAAGAATAGCAGTGCCCGCCCCCCTTTGCCACCAGCTGCTTAACGGGGCTGGGATCTCTCTGCAGAGCTGGGACTAGCAATGGGTCTAGGCTACTGCCAGTGCTGCACCCTCTTCTCCCCAGACAGCTGTGGGGGGCAGGGAGAGCAAAGCCCGTTTGCACGTGCCAGGAGATTTGCTCTGAGCCGGGCTCCTGGCACGGCTGTCGGGGACAAGCAGCCTGTGCATTGTAAACAAGAGGAGCTTTGCCAGGTGGTGAGATAAAGGCAGAGGCCCATTCTGAGCCACAGAGAGCCAGGAGCCCTGCTGACCCAAGGGGGCATCCCAGCCCCCATCTCTGTTTACGTAACTGACCTCGCTGCGGTCAGTGTAAATCCCCCAGGGGGTGTTATATAAGGAGCGCACAGCTCTGCACACCTGGCATCCTCTGTGGCTCCAACACCCCACCCGCCGGGGGCGGCGCTTGTAATACCCCTCCAGCTGCAGCTGGGGAATGTAGGAACTTGATTAATGGCAGGAACAGGAGGCCGCATGCTTGCGCCGAGAATTTCTCATGGCATCACCTGGGAGGTCAAGGACCTGGCGCTGAGCCGTCACATGGGAAGCCACGGGGTGGGAGTGGATCTATGCCCAGCATCCCTTGAACATGCTTTGATGCTTCCGGGCTGGCACTGGGACTCTTCGGAGGGGAGCGTCCGCCATGGCCGGGCGGGGGAGATGCTGAGTTTCCCAAATCCCTAACTCAAGCTTTGTTGTGGCCTCTCTCGTTTTGTAATGAACTGGCGGCGTGTGGTGATGCCGGCGAGCCCCAAATAACCCATCAAAGCTACCTTGAGAGCTCCCACGTGGGAAAGTGGTCTGCTTGGCAAGAGAAAGCAAGTTTCCCCAGAAGCAGCCCTAGCAAAGCTCGGTCAGGCTGAGCCACGCCAAGCCAGAGAATCGCAGGGGAGAGCGCAGGACTGGTCTTGTTTCAATCAGAGACTGGAAGTGGCTGGCAGAAACATCCTCCTGCTGTGAGGGGCATGGACTATTGGAACAACTACACCTGTGCCCTAACTCACGCTTAGGAGCTGCTCAGTAGGGATTGGCTGCCTCTCTAAAGCAGGGGGAGGGATAGCTCAATGGTTTGAGCATTGGCTTGCTAAGCCTAGGGTTGTGAGTTCAATCCTTGCAGAGGCCTTTTAGGGGTTTGGGGCAAAAATTTGTCAGGGATGGTTCTTGGTCCTGTTGGGAAGGCAGGGGACTGGACTTGATGACTTTTCAAGGTCCCTTGCAGTTCTAGGAGATAGGCAATCTCCCTTATTCTTTAGGGGTGGGGAACCTAAGACCCAGGGGCTGGATGTGGCTGCTAACATTTGGGGATCCCCCCAGCATTGGGAAGCCCACACTGGTGCTTCAGCCCCTCTGCTGTCCCTCTGTGGGGCTGGAGCACACAAAATATACTAGCCTGAGCCCCCGAGGGGAATATGGAGAGTGTCTTTCTCCTCTTACGTGGGGGCATGGAGGCCATGTCAGAGAGGTTGTTTTTTTGTTTGCATCTCGCTTGTGTGTGGCCGCTGACTGATTTTTCTATGGGTCAGCAGCCCCGACCTAAAAAAGATTCCCCACCCCGGCTCTAAAGCTCAGCTGTTAGTTCAGCCCACAAGTTAGGGGGCTCAGTTGTTCACTCATGTCGCAGTAAAGAACAATTCCCTCCACTGCTGGAACCGTGGGCGGAGGTTCTCCTGTGTGTGCCATGCGAGAGGGGCAAATTAGATCATCAAAACAGGTTCCTTTGGCCTTACAATCTACACGTAGAGCCCTACCAAATTCACAGTCCATTTTGGTCACTTTCGGGGTTATAGGAGTTTAAAAATTGTAAATGTCCTGATTTCAGCTACTTAAATCTGAAATGTCATGGTGCTGCAATGGGAGGGGTCCTGACCCAAAAAGGAATTGGGGGAGTCACTTTTTTCGGGGGGGGGTTGGGGTGCTGCTCCCTTTCTGTGCTGCTGACTTCAGAGCTGGGCAGCTGTGGCTGCTGGATGGGAGCCCAGCTCTGAAGGCAGCGTCCCTGTCAGCTGTAGCATCCAAAAGTAAGGGGATGGTCTGTGTTGCAGCTAGCGGGACGCTGCCTTCAAAGCTGCATGCCTGGCTAACCGATTCTGCTTTCTGAGTGTGCAGCTCTGAAGGCAGTGCCGAAATAAAGGGGGCAATACTGTGACTCCCCCTCCCCAATATAATGTGACCTCCCTACAACTCTGATTTGGGTCAGGACTGTTCCCCCCTGTGAAATCTATATAGGGTAAAAGCACACGAAAGACCAGATTTCAAGGTCCGTGATACACTTTTAGGCAGGGTTATGAACTATCCAACCGATGGAAGTTTCTTAGAACGAGGTAACTGATCTGAGCTGTTGAGACAGTGCCCTGGATGGGGGCGTCCAGGATTTCCTTGTGCCGTACAGCAAACGGTAGGTAATCCACTGTCTTCAGGAAGCAAGCAGTCACCGCGCTGCCTTCCT